AAAAAAAAAAAAATGAGTACAGGATAAAGTGGAAAGGTGCTGAGTTCACAGACCAGCTATGGGGACAGACAGACCCCACAGTTCAAGGATATGGGGTGGAGGCAGGGAAGGCAGGGCTAACAGCACTGGGGGACTCTGAGGCATGAGGTGGTTAGCAACAAGAAGTCTCTGTTTGAACTGAGCACTGAAGGGTGAACATTGTCACAAAGCACGCAGGGCCTTCTAGGCACAGAGGACAAAATGTACCCAAGTTTGGGGGCGTGTAAAGGAATCCATCAAGTGGATGGGAATCCGCAGTGGCTGTGGCCAGAGCCTGAGGGGTGTGAAGGGGAGTGTGAAGGGGAGTGACGGAGATAAGCATAGAAGATGATTGCAAGGGCCTGGGAAATGTGAGCTAAAGAGAAAGGAAGGTCACTGACCCTGTGATAGCAGATGACCTCAGGCAACCTCCTCTGGGCAAAGCCACTCACAGTAGCTGAGACTCCACTGACAGCTTTGCATAAAGCTATTTTTGTGGACCATGGAGGCTGAGGGTACCAGGCAACTTTCCAGAAAGCATTTTTTGGGGGGGGTGGGAGTAGAGAGTGCTTAAGCAAGGATCCATCAGCAACATTCCCCTGTCCCTTTCCCCAAGAGCTCACACTCTCTCTTTTAAAAGCTTTGCTCTCCATCGGCATTTCATTTGGGGAATCATCTCCTAAGTACCCTTTTTGCCAAGGACGGAGTTGGAGGAGCAGGAAGGAGACAGCTCTGCCTTCACAAGCTGCCAGTGAGAAAGAGTCACACCTTCATGAGTGACCACAGCATAGGACAGGATGTCAGAAATGCCCCCAAATTTGTGCCATGGGAAGGGAGAGGCAAGAGCAATCAGTTTTTCTGGGATGATCATGGAAGGTTTCTAGGAGGAGGAGAAAGATGACCAAAAGGCCCTTGAACAGGTAACACGTTTGGTGAAGATTCAGTGATGAAAGGGAGAAACAGACTTAGTGTATATAAGGACTTAAAAAACACTGAGACCCCATGTGGCTGAAGCACAGAATGTAGCTGGGGTGGAGATGGATAAACAGGCAGAGGGACCAGGACACAGACAGCCCTATATATAAAGTTAAGGGATTTGGATTTATTGGGGAGACAAGAGGGAACCACCAGAGGTTTGTAAGTGGACATGATCACAGCTGGGTTGGTTAGCGGATATCTGGCAGCTGATCTGGAGGTTGGAGGTCTGGAGAACGGTTTAAGGGGCTGAATAATGAGCAAAGAATGGGTAGATGAGGAAAGAAACGAAGAGCTAACTTTGTAACAGATCCTGAATGCAAACAGAGGGTTTCAGTTTCCAACATTCATATGCCCAAGAAGACCCAATTAAGGGTCTGGGGGTCTTTGACAATTAACAAGAGAGAGAGAGGCAGAGGCCCATGTTGTGCCACAGCATGAAAAAACAGACTGGCTCCGCTTCAGCCCTGAGTGGGATTTTCTCACTCTTCTGAGTCTGTTGTGCCCCAATTGTGTGTTTAATTTCAATGTTTTCCTTCTGTTCAGGTTTTTGCCACAGGAGAATAACCTCTCTCCATTCTAATCTGAAATTAATTATTTATACTTATGAACATGCTGGATGCCTGCCCAGTTTATGTATTTTTCGAATAGCAATTCACAGAAGACAGGGAAAACATAATCTCGAGGTAAATGCTCTTTCCAACTGTTGCCCAATTAATTGTTTGAAATCATTGTGTAGCCTTGTCATTATTCTGTAGAGTCCAAAATCTATCCCTTGCACACTCATGAGATGCCAGGAGCCTGCAATGGACAGATCACACTATCAGGTCCCACCACCTGAACTTCACAATCTTATCTCCCACTACTATGACTTTCTCCTCTGGTCCAAATTCCACTCCTTCATCCTCCAAGGCCCAGTTCAAAGAACTCCTACTCTATGAAGCCACTAGTGGTTCTCTTTCAAGGGAAAAGTCCCCTCCCTCATGCTTCTGAGTTTCATTTTGATTTTGTAGCCTTCATTAAACTCTAAGCTCCCCCAGGGGGCTCAGACACGGATCTGGCACACCATACGTCCCCCAGTGGAGTGTCTGCTGTGATGGGAAGTAGTGTGATTTCCAACATCCAGAGAAGCAGTTACACACAGCAGCTGAGGCAGGGCTAGGGAGACCAGACACACTTTGGGAGTCAGTGTCTACAAAGAGCTTTTGGGAGAGGTGAGCAGGGAGTCACTCACCAGGAGCTGATACCAATGCTGCAGTTTGGTGGAGTTACCTGCTGAACTAGCCCCAAGTAAAGAACACACGTTTTCCACATTTCACAAACCTCCTGAAGCATTCTCCTCTCCAGGATAACCTGCTTCCTTCATATCTTCACCTCTGTTGTGTGAAGTCCAGTTTACAAATGAGTGAGAATCATTATTTCCAGTGATTCTTGCAACAGCTGAGGGATGCATACAAGGCAAGGGTATGCAAGGGTTCTTTTTCAGACAGAGATCTGGGGCACAGGGAACAGTGACTTGACCAACGACACTCCCTGGAAATGTCAGGGCGCTTACTTTGACCCAGGCTTCCTAACTCTTGGTGCAGTGGCTCCTTCAAAGATCCTGCCAGTATTCTGAGCTTCAAAGGAAACGGGGCTTGAAAGTGATTTCCAAGCACGCACAAGATGTTATGTCAACTGAGGTATGTACGGCTGACAAAAGGCCACTTGGGGGGTTTAGGCCACCTAAGGAAGCCTACACAGAAGCATCATGAAGGCACTTTCGAGTCTTCCATGCACGTGCTAGTCACCTGCAACCAGTAACAGCTGAACTCCCACAGGGAGCCCACGGAAGAAAGCGTTGGCTGTTTCTGGCACGATGGGGCCACCGTACAGCATAAAGCCTAGCGGAGCCCCAAAGGCTAACTGCAGGTGTCAGGACGTGCCCCTCTGCCAGCCCTGCTGACGTTGTCCGCGGCCAGAAAGAGTCTGGCGGCTCTGGGCGGTTCGCGGGGTTAGGAAGAGGAGGCGGGGCGCCGTCTTCCTCACGTGATCCGAGCGCGTCGCCCTGCGCCACGGCGCGCCGGGGTCGGTCAAGGTCTGCGCCTGCGCGGCCGCCGGCTTGCGGGCTCGCCTGCTCGCTCGCTCGCTCGCGGTCTTGCGGGACTGCACTGGTGATGGGTGAGTGCGGGGGCGGGCGGGAGAAGCGCTGGGCTCCTCTCCGCGTCTGCTTGCAGGGAGGAGCAACAGGAAGAAGGTCCGCGGGGGCGACCGACAGCCCTGGGGGCTCACCCCGGTTCTGCATGCGACCCGCTGCTCAGGCGCGCGCCGGTCCCTCGGGCCGGCAGCTGCGGGCCCCACCCTCAGCCTCCTCCAGCTCCTCCTCCCTCCCGCCGCTCGTATCTGTGTGGGCGAACTTTCCCGGGAAGGGGGCTGTGCGTTCACTCGGGCTCAGGCACCTCCCCGGAGCTCCCAAGGAGCGAGGGCGGGGTGGGGGGGCGCGGGCTTTGCCTGAGCCCCGGGAGGGCGGCGCTGGCACGGCCGAAGGGCTGGATCACTGATCCTCCCCCCAAGGGCTGGCGTTCGGGCCTGCTCACTCCGGGACCCCCGATTTAGGAGTGTCAGAGACGGAAGGGGTCTTAGTGATCTTGTCCAGCTCCCTCTCCCTTTTTAACAGGTTTGGGAGATGGACGCTTGGAGAACGGTAAGTTCATCCACATTGCCTGGCAATGCTTGTTCCTCGACACCATATTGCATTGCAATATAGGAAACTCAGTTGTAGAAGGCTTTTCTGAGACGGGGGATGTTGTTAATTGTTAGTCTGTGTACCAGTTATTTCGGTTGAGCAGTTAACATGATGGAGTATGTCACCTCTCAGTTATATTTACCCTTTCTGCATAACCTTTGTTTTACTCTTTCAGCCCTACCTTGCTGGTCTTAATTCCCACCTTCTGTTTCTCTACCTGTAATCTGAAACAGAAGCCCTTGAAATAAAAGTAGAGTGACCTTGCCACTTTGGACCTTCTCTGCCCTTGCTTTGAAAGGATTCCATAGAATCAAAAAGTGCTTACGACTCTGTTGGGTTCCATAGCGGTTTGGGGCATAGGTTAGGTGTTTTGGGACAGGAATCACCTCCAGTGTATCTCCAGGGAAAATAACAAGTAGTTTGTATAGGAAGGTCAGCAGTTCCTTATAGGGAGATGATCCCTGAGAGTAGTTGGTTTATATGATCTTTAGTATGGTAGATAAAAGTAAGCTCAGATTAGTGGATTTTAAAATTGTAGACATTGCTCTGTGTTTATAGCAAGATAGTGCCATAACTAGGACTAGACCTAGGCTGATCTTGTTCTGAATGCTGACTCAGACCTGCTGACTAATGGAAATTCATATCCTTTGAGAGTTACAATCACCCTCTCCCCAGTTTTTGCACAAAGACCTTTGTTCTGGGGTCACAGCTGGATCATGCTTAGCCATGTGGGCTGTGAATTACAGTAAGTATTTAGACTTTAAGCTGTTATGCCACGTGTGTTTGACACTTGTAGTTGCTTAAAAGTCAAGTTAACTCTGATGCTGAGACAAGTTGAGAGTTTTAGATAGCAAGTGTAAAGTTGTGGTAAATAAATTTGCAATAAATAGCAAATTTAAGTGTAGGCCAGGCAAGGTGGCTCACACCTGTAATCCTAGCACTCTGGGAAGCTGAGGCGGGTGGATTGCCTGAGCTCAGAGG